AATTAAAATTAATTATGAACCTATAGATAAATTCCTTATACTCCACCATGACTCCATGGATTGTTGTTTTATTTGAGTGATGGGGATAAAGAGTGTATAAAAAAGTGAGGATTATGAGAGTTGTTTAATGCCTTATGCCCGGCATTGTTATATTTGTCTCATGATGTTGATGAGATGTTATTTATATTGTTGCCTCGTTCTCATGAGTAGACGAGTGCTTTGATTTACGCGCGTACGTATATGCTAACCATCCGGGGAGTGTGAGTCAAACTCGGGACGATATCCCCGTGCAAGTTTGGCTTCGGAGCGGTGTTAGATATACGGGAGGCACATGGGATATATGTGTAGGCCGGAAGGGGAGAGCCGAAGTGGTGGAGTTAAGGAACAAAGAATTTAATTATGAATTTATTAGTATAGTGTGTATGGTACTGTTATGTACATGATAAAAAAATAGTAAACGATCTTGATGAATTATGAAATTTGAGGAGAGGCATGTATACGTGATTTTGGACAACTCTTGTGTTGTACCTTTTTATTAAAAAGATCGATTAGAACTTATAATCGGATGACCTTGGTTATTGTCGGTTTGATTCACTTTGTAATGCAGATTTTATAGGCTGTTTTAACCCATGAAACGAGTTCATTTTTATTGGTTTCGCGTACACTGAAGTAAAACATTATTCTGCACACTTTTCATGTTTTGAACTTTTTCAGAAAAAAATCATCTTATGGCAGTTTTGGTTTGTTTTCAGCTTCAGATTTTTCGATTGAATTCTATCTAGATTTTTATATCAAGTTTTTCTCTTAACCTGTTCAGTTTCTGTTAAATTCGTTCACGATGTCTTTTAGGAAATTTGATTCTGTACAAATTTCGTTCTTTGAGTTTTGATCAATTCGAATTGTTTAAGTATGAAACGGTGTAATTTTATATTTGTTTCAACAAGTTACTTATGATTAAATTATACTAACTTTATTTGTTTTGCAGGATGGTGGGTCTTACTAAATTTTTATGCAGGGCTGACCCACCATATTTCTATTTCTATTTTGTTTATTTTATAATAAATTTATATTTCGTTATGTACGGACAAGAAACTAAATGCCACCGTATCTCGGGAAACTACCCATTCGTCTCGGTGCGGTTGGAACTACTTGTCTTGTCCCGTGATAAGAATTTAATGTATTTTGTTGTGTCTGGTGGACACGTGGGTATCAATTCTTGTACTCATACCAGTATTACCTGTATACTGACCCGTTTTGTCTCTTGACAACTCGGGTGCGTTCTGTTGAGCGCAGCTGAGCTTTCCTTTGCAGGATTAGTTAGGCTACGGTGGTGACGAGAAGTAACTATAGTTGTTGGGCAATATCTCTTAGTTTCTTTTATTTTTCTTGAGCTTAGGGTTGATACTAATTTATGTAATTATTATTTTTTTTTAATGACCTTAGTATTTTGGATAATTTGGCTTGGGTTGTAACCTTACATTATTTAAGTTGTTTTGAAGTATTTATTGTTACTGTAACGTTGGATATATTAGATAGTTTATGAAATTATGGTGCATGGTATGATTGGTGTTTTGTTAATTACCTTATTGAGACTAGAAAGTTTAGATTTTTGTTTCACCCCTAGGATTTGGATGATGGAATATTGATTGGGGTTTAGTCCTAATTTAATATTTAATTGTCCAAATTTTGGGGCGTGACAATACTCGTTTACCTCATATTCATCAAAACCCTTCTTTTCATTTCATACCCAAATCCTAAATTTGTCCAAACCACAACCAAATCTCATCATTTATACACAATAGCAAATAACTAAGCTAAAAACCATATTAGAGTGTAGAAAATTCCTACCTCAAGTTTTGAAGAGAATCTGAGATGAAACCCCAAAAATCAACGATGCCTAAACTCGATCTCCACCGCACACAACGTAGCCCTCGCCTAGATAACCAACTTTGATAAAGAACTTAGGTCCAAATCTCAAATGATTTGAAGAAATCAAAGATCTTGTGAGGTTTTTTGGTAGGAAATGTAGAGAGAAGGGAGAGAAAATGTTTTTAGAGAGAGAGATACAAAAGTAATGTGAAATATCAGATTCACGAACTGATATAATACATGGTCCGCTCGAGCGTGGAAAGCCCCGCTCGAGCATCAAATACACTATCCCAGTACTTTTGCAGACAGGTCAAACTTCTGAAATTAAACATTCTCCGCTCGAGCGCATAAACTGCCGCTCGAGCGGACAAGCAACTTCGAATGCATTTTGCATTTTTATTTTGAGGGGCGCTGCTAGCTCGACCCCCGCCAGGGCGCTGCCCCCTCGATCCCGAATCGGCCTAGTCGAAGTGGCAAAACATAAAAGAAGGATCGAAACCGGGATCGCTACAGCTAGGCAATTAGTTTATAATACTACTACTAATTGCCGTCAATCATTTTAGTATAAGAGATAAGCGTCTATATTCTGAAAGTACCGTGGAGATGACGAATTTGTCTCAAATAAATAGTGTTCAGCACTGGACATGATCTATTTTTCGAAAAAATAATTCTGTAAATACTTTTTCATTTTTTTGGTTTCTTTCCTTTCTATTTTTTAGATTCTATTTTGATTTTATACCAAAATAGAATTCATCTTTTAAATTTGTTGTTCATTTAATTTTGATTCAACGTTGAGTACTAGACCATAATTTTGTTTGTCAAAATTCATTTGCTTATTATGGGGGGTGTTTGGGAAGAAAAAAAATAGCTTAATTTAGGCCAAAATTCACAAAAAGACAAAATAGGCTAAAATAGCTAATAAGACAAAATATCACATTAAATCCATAATCATTTCACTTTTTCTCTCACAAACCTCACATCCAACCACAAAAAAATCCAATCATCTTCCCAAACAAAAAAATTTTAACCTACTAAAATAGTCAAAAACTAAAATAGCCTACTAAAATAGTAACTTCCCAAACAAAATAGTGAAAATTGTCTAACATCTTTTAGATCTAACTTTACTTGTATAAACTTGTTTTCTCTCTCTACAAACCCAAACAGCTCTTTCTTGCCTATCTTCCATTTTTCCTAACCCAGCTCTCCCCTTTCACTCGCCCGTTCTATAAATCAAAACATAGCAGACCCAACTGCTCTCTCTTGTCTTTCAATTTGTTCCGCTCTCCATAAATCAAACTTAATAAACCTAGCTTCTTTCTCCCCTTTTTAGTTCTGCTCCACTCTCTATAATCCAACGTACCCATCACCCTCTCTTCTCTTTAAAATTATCTATATTTTTCTTCTCCTTAGAGAAAGAAAATTAATTGTGAAAAGGTGATGATTGCTGTGTGTGCTGGATTAGCTGGATTGGCCTCTCTTTTATGGAAGACATTAAACTGATTTTTGTGATGTGAATTGACTTTTTGATTTTTTGATTTTTTAATTATTTTAATTTGGAGTTAAAAAATCTCATTTAAATTAGGCTTTTTGACTTTTTTTAATTTTTATGCGAGAAAAAAATAAAATGATTATGGTTTAGATGCGATATTGTCTTATTGGGTTAAAAAGTTTATTTTGTATTTTTATAACTAAAATAACCAAAAAATCAAAAAGTCTGACATGCCAAATGAAGGCTATGTTTCTTATTTTTTGGAATTTTTCATTCTATGAATGAAATCAAATATTTTTGATTTTGTGTTTTAAAAAATGAACTATATATATATATATATATATATATATTTGATAAATATAATAAATTGAACAAGTTAAAATTTTTGAATCGATTTAATTTTTTTTATAAATGAAGTAATAAAGTGTCAGACAACATAAACGATTTAAATAATCAAAATGAAACTTGGGATGGATTCCACGGACTCAAATAGTGTCCTCCCGTCCAAAATCTAAACCGGAAGGAATCCTTCTCCTATAAAATAAGTGTTCCACTTTGACATGGGTAAGCCCACAAAGGATATAGCCCACCACTTAAAGCCCAATCCATGATTCAAATACTAAAGCTCAATATTCTTAAAACCTAACGTTACACTAAGCACCAATGACATCTGAACACTTGGCAAGTAAAGAACCAGCCACATCGGCAGACAAAGATCCTGCAGAGTTATTGCACCACACATCAGCTATTAATGAGTTTCCCTGCAACATTTATTACGATAACCCTTTACGTTGGAACGAAACAGCCTCATCATGAACAAGACAAGCTAGAACATAGACTTTCAGCCAATGTGACAGCCCTGAGTGGACAAGGAAATGATGAGTAAAGGATATAAGCAGGCTCCTAAGACAAAAGGTTAAGTTCTCTATCACCATTTCTATCCCAACATTCGATCATTCTCCTCTAACTTGCTTGTCGGAAGATTTGCTGGGCAACTCCCCGCTCCCCGTTAAACTCTTGTTCAGGTTTTGCTGTGAGCTCAACCCCTGAATAACAATTTAGGAAGCGTAGATCAATTCAACCCGTTCCATCCGGAGCCCGCAGCATTATCACACTTTATTTTCAATATTTGGTGATGTGGTAGCATAGTATTTATTGTTCAGAAAATTAGAGTCATGATTCACTGCTCTCGAAGCAATGCTCTTCTTTTATTAACAAATTGATTTTTAATATTTTATTTTTTAAAATTCTAACACAAAAAATAGTAAATCTTATAATTTAGACCAATAAAGCCTCGTTTGGGGACCATCCCTTTTAGCCAAAAAGTCAAAAAGTTACTAAATTAGCCAAAAAGCCAACAACCCATACCAAAAAGTCAAAGATTCTCTTTTCTCTCTACTTTTTGCACATCTTTTCATAAAAAGCCAAAAAGTCATCCCAAACATACTAGTTTTTTTTAGCTCATATTTTAGCCAAATAGCCAAAAAATTACTAAATTAGCCTGTTCCCAAACGAGGCCTAAGTATCCATTTAACACATCACTTCGATAGTTGTATTGAATAATTTTCCGTAAAATTGAGATTATGGGACAACCGTGTAGAACTTATCGTATTGAGTTATAAATATTGTCCCTCCATCCATCAAGTTTCTCAATAATCCTCTCACCTCTCCATATTCTTCCACTCCCTCTCTCCGTCCTTCACCCTCTTTCTAAAAATGGATTTTGTTCCTCTACTTCAAGCAACCGGAATCCTTGTAGCCCTACTTGTACTCTCCAAAATATGGATGTCCAAGACCGGTACCCAAGCCCCCGAACCGAAAGGTGCGTGGCCGATCATCGGCCACCTCCACCTCCTCGCCGGCCAAACCCCACTCTTCCGAACCCTCGCCGCCATGGCCGACCGGCACGGTCCCATATTCACAATCAGACTCGGGTTCCACCGAGCCATCGTGGTGAGCAGCAAAGAAACAATCACCGAATGCTTCACTGTCAACGACCGAGCTTTCATGTCTCGGCCCCAAACCGCAGCACTCAAATACATGGGCTACAATGGCGCCTTTTCCGCTTTCGGACCTTCCGATGACTACTGGCGCGAGATTCGTAAACTCACCACCCAAGACCTCCTCTCTAACCGCCATTTGGAGTCGTTGAAGCATGTCCGAGCCCTGGATGTGGACTTGTCGATCAAAGAGCTCTATTTATTCTGCATCAAAAATGGTAGTTTCATAAATAATCAGTTTAAATTGGGTGATTTCGATTATACTGATAGTAATTAATAAATAAATAAATAAATATTTCTGTTGGTTTGTTTGGATAAGTTAAAAAAAAAAAAATGAAATGAAATGAAAAAAAAAGGGACAAAAATCAATTTGTTTGCAGTGATTTTACAAATCCAGAAATAGTAGTGATAGAGAGTTCTAGTAGAACAATTCTAAAAGTAGTTTTACTGAGCTGGCAGTGTCAAGAACAAGAAAAAGAAAAAGAAAAAAAGACAAATTAAAACTGTTTTAGACTTTTTTTTTTTTTTTTTTTAGAGTTTTAAAACATTTTTTATCTAGAAATTATACCCAAAATTCAAATATTTAATATATTAATCACATTTATTTTACATATGAATCTTATAATATATTCATTCAGTCTCTATCACATACATTCAATCTATAAGTAAAAATTTGAGTATTTTTTTTAGGTTACAGACTAACTCATTTTTTTTATAAGTCTCTCTACTCTTTCAGAATTTTGGTGCTGAAATTTTTAATGCAAGCAAATATAAGGTTGAGATTTAGTTCATATGTGTTGTGCGTCCATGTTTAAAATATATATTATATAAAGGACTCAGCTCGTCTCCAATAATTGGAGGGGTTGTTCTGCGCTGGTAGATCTTCATTTGGACATATGTTGAGATAATTCAAATTGTTCAATGTGTAAAATTTATTAAACGTATCATTTTTATAAAAAATTACATTGATTGGATATCGATAATTACTTGATCATATCACATTTCTATCACATTTTATTTTGAAAATTATTTTAAAAATATAATCTGATCAAGTGGTTATCGATATTTGATCAACGTAATTTTTTTGTAAAAATAATGTACTTGATGAGTTCTACATATTGAACGATTTGAATTATCAATATGAGACCAAATCAGGGCCCACCAACATCGAACAGCCCCTCAAGTTATTGGAGAGGAGTTGGGTCGTTGTATAAAAATGCTAGAGATTCAAAAAATTATACATAATACTTACATATATTTGGGTCTCATGTTATGTGGTCCCTACACCCATATAAATATTATATAAAATTCTTGATAATTTTTTTTTTTAGAGTACATAGCATTACTCTAAACCATATATTGATGTTTTTTGATTAAAAAAAATGATATATAAGTTCGTTTTCTAAACTTAGTGATATGTCATTAGGATGATTAGTTGGTTGTTAGAGAATAAATTAGAGAGAGATTTGACTTAAATATTTTAAAAGAATGATATATCATTGGATCTAGAAAGTAAATTTAATTTTTGAGTTTGAATAGTAATATTCTTTTTGATAAAATTTGTTGAGTATGTAGTTTTACTATAAAAATCTCTCTCTTTTTTTATTTATTTAAGACCTTGTTTGAGAACAGATTTTTTTTATTAATTTTTTGATTTTTTGACTAAAATATGATGTAAAAAAAAATTAGTATGTTTGGGATGACTTTTTGATTTTTTATGAAAAAATGTGTAAAAAATAGAGAGAAGAGAGATTCTTTGATTTTTTAGTACAAATTATTGAGTTTTTAATTTTTTTAATAATTCTTTAACTTTTAAACTAAAAAGTGATGTTACTAAGTAATGAAATTGGAAAGAAATAAACTAATTAGTACCTTTTATAATATCATAATTACCGTTTACATATATTGAAGAAATTTAAAAAGTGACCCTTATAAAAAGTTATTTTAACAATATAACATGAAACCAATTTTTTTTTTTTACTTTCCTTTTAGGGTTTTTTTTTTATTTTTTTATTTTTAATTTTTATTTTTTTCACGGCGAGCAAAGATAGTTTTATTAACTCCGAGAAAGATACAAAACAGTTTGAAAAAAAAGTTGTATCTCAACTGTATTGACACCTAAAACTAGATTAATCATGTGCATCTCCAAAGTTCTCAATAAAGGTTAGACAGATTTCAACTCAAATCCCACCAGACACCAGCAAACCCACAGACTATACTTGACCTCCCAAACAAAATGTGAGAGATTCCCTTATTTATCCAAACAGAAGGCAAACTTTTTTTTTTATTTATTTTTATTTATTTTTTATTTTTTATGTAATCATTTTTTTTTTCCGCTCTGCTATGTTTCCAAAACAGAGTGTAAGGTGAAAGTGAGTGAATGGTTTAGGCAAGTGACGATGAACTTGATGCTACGGGTGATTGCGGGGAAGCGATACAGCTTCGGTGACAATGAGGGAGACAAGGAGGCAAGGCAGTTCGCGAGAACGATGGACGAGTTCATGTATTTGGCTGGTGTTTCTGAGTGTTCGGATGTGATTCCCGGGATTGAATGGTTGGATTTGCAGGGTAATGTGAAGGCTATGAAGAGGAATGGTAAAGAGATGGATTATTTCATGAGTATGTGGCTTGAAGAACATGTGCAGAGCAGGAAAGAAGGGAAGGTGAAGAAAGATGAAAGAGACTTCATGGATGTGTTGTTGTCTTGCTTCCCTGAGGATGGTGATGGGTTGGTGTTTGGACACAAGAGCCAGGACATCATCAAGGGAACTGCTTTGGTACACTCAAATTCCTTGCCTTCTCTAAAGAGTATTTTCTTTTTTTTTGCCTCACATCTCTAAAAAGTTTATAAGTATTAATTTGGACCCTTTTGGTTAAGGCATATAAGTGAGATTATTTCATTCTTAGCATAATATAAGTTAAAAAGTTATTTTAGCCAATAATAATGTTCGTAAATGAAAGGTTCATAGTTCAGATAAGGCGATAATGTAGTGAGTGAGACATCAAGCTAGTGAATTGATGGGTATGCTTCTCAAGAGTCATCCAATAGTCAAATTAGTGGTGAACTCGTAGCACAGTTTTTAGGGTTTAATATGAATGAATAATTCATGTATAAGTGGATGTTGCGTGAGATGTTATCATGTTAGGAGTGTAGTGCTATAAAACACGTCTTTAATAATATGTTTGGTTGAAGGATTTGGAAAGAGATTTGAAAAGAAAAAGAAAAAGGTAAGTGAAATATAAATAAAATATACTTACATTTCACCTAATTTCACACGCCTCTTTTTTTTTCTTTTTTCTTTTTTCTTTTTCTAAATTTCTATCCAAATTTCTAAACCAAACACAACATAAGTGAATAATTCATGTGAAAAATAATTCTATTAGTCATTTCTCTAAGCGGATGTCGCGCGAGATATTGGCCCTGTTTGGTAGAGCTGTGGGAAAGTGCTTATAGCTTATGCCTCAACAGCTTATAGCTTATAACTTTCAGCTTAAGCTGATTTCCAGCTTATTCTTAAAGCATCTTCTGCCCCACTCAAAGAATAAGTTGATTTTTGACTTTCAAAAAGCTATAAGTTATAAGTTATAAGCTAAACTAAACACATCAAAATAGCTTAAATTAAGCTGAAAGCTGAAATAAGCTGTAATTAAGCTCTGCCAAACAGGCACATTATCATGTTAGGAGGGTATGGAAGTTGGTGTGTTTCTGCCAATGTTGTGTTCCGCAGTGGTCGTTTCGACGGTGGAAGCTTCAATTGTGTGCTTAGGCTAAGGGTGTTTGGTAATGGGAGTTTGAGTGTTTGGGCCAGTGGGTGTTTTGATTTTGGAAGCAAGCTTCAGCCATGGGTGTGTTTATACGAATGGTGTTCAGCCATAGAGTCGGTGAAGTTTGGAGGAAGGGGACAGGTGTGGGAGACACTGAGATGTGCCCTGGGTATAGTGTGGTTGTGCCTTGGGAGCCGAGGAGTGTGTTTTTGGGCATGTGGTTTGATATGGGGTTTCAATTTTTTTCTTTTTATTTTATTTTATTTTTTTGGTAGGTAGGTCCTTCTTAACTGTTAAAATTTGTTTTGGTCTTGTTTTGGTTTACTTTTTGTTTAAAAAATTGTGAGGATGAGAGGTTGATTATATGAGTACAAATAACAGTAATAAGAATATTTTCTACTGTTCAAACCTCTTTCAATACCTTGTATTTTTCTGTACCTTCAATTTTATGTTTTTATAAAATTTTTACTTTTACTATTAAAAAAAATAAAAAGAACCTCATGTACTTGTCGGTGGAAGGTTGTCTCACAAACCAACTTAGCAAAGCTAAGGGTTCAATTGGACTTCTAATGTATATTGTACGGGAAAGAAATAAACCTTCTCGTATAATCCTGTTGACCAAGTCCACGCTCCTCCGTACGACGTCGCTTTATCACCTGAAAACACAAACGTGAGCTAGCCGGCGGGTGTGTGCCGGAAACCTCTCCGATGCCTAAGTCAGAAAACTTGACAAATAGACAAAGCTCAAAAGTTCTCAGAAAGATTGTGTCCAATTACCTCCTCCAAGGTGATGTTTTCATTTTGTATAAAAATTGTAAGTTAATTTTTTATTATTTTTATATCAATCGATAGAAGATTAATTAGAAATATGAAAAAAAATTATAACAAATTAGACAATTAGCATTCAAAGCATAATACAACAATTCAATTCTTTTAGGTTTTCGTTTATTATCAATTTTATTTTTCATTTTTTCTTTCGTAAGAATTCTTCTCCAAACATATCTTTAAATTTTCTCTTCCAAATTTCTACTTGCGTAAATTATACCTTTGCTGTTATGGTTGCCTCCACGCACAAGCTACTAAAAGAAGAGAGTTTTTAAAAATAAGTATTTTTAGAAAAAGAATAGAAGGCCAATATATTCACATCTGCTAAGTGATTCATATTAAAAAAAGAGTGAATTACACTCTAATCGTCCCTATAGTTTGGAACTTGTGTCACTTTGGTCATTGACTTTTTAATTATAACACATTTGACCCTGAGTTTTAAATTTTGTTCCAAATGAAGACAATTGAAGATATCATTACTTAATTTCAAGGACAAAATCGTTAATTTGATAAAATATAAACTAATTTGATAAAATTAAATATCAAAAAAATATTTTTGAATTTTTTTAAAATTATTTCTACACATCAAAGATAAAATTATGTAAAATTGATAAATCTTTTA